GCTGACTTTCCTGCAACTGTCGGAGACTTTCTTCCTGTTTCCTTTCTTGTTCTAGTTGCCACTGCTGTAATCTCTCTTCTTGTTTATTTTGTTGTTCGAGCTGCCACTGTTGCAGGTTTTCTTGCAACTGCTGTTGTCTCTCTTCTTGTTTCTTTTCTTGTTTATTTTGTTGTTCGAGCTGCCACTGTTGCAAGTTTTCTTGCAACTGCTGTTGTCTTTCTTCTTGTTTCTTTTCTTTTTCCTCTAACAACTGCTGTAATTTCTCTTCTCGTTCTTCTTGTTTCTTTTGCTGTTCTTGTATTGCTGTCATCAAATCTGCTAAGCTGTAGTTTGATTTTCCGCCTCACGTTTCCATTTTTTTTTCTGTCCCACTCTCTGACACCAATTTGTTACGTCTCTGTTCGTTAGTTAATTTTCCGTAAATTCGTTCCGACGAAACTTTAGCGACACAAGTCCTTTCTTAAATAAAACTGGTTTATTCTTTCCGAATACAAATTTACGATACACTTAATTTCAACAGTCGCTCTGTAACAAACGCTATAACTCACTCTCACGAGCTCGACTTCAACAATACTCAGTTCAATTACACACTCTGTGACTGCAGTTCAATTACTCATTACACTGTTCTTCCGTCACGCCGTGACCGTCTTATATATATACAAGACTAACACATTCTTGAAGGAACAGGATACTTCTAGAAAACGTGGCGTGACACCAGTTACGTGACCTCGCTGACGCAACAGTACTATACCACTGCTGCTTTAATTCAACGTTACAAAACGGCTTCATATAGTTGATACTCTTCTGTCAGGCATCAGTTACTTGAATACCAGTATCACCCTGGAAAGCTTTGTATTGAAGAAGATGAAAGATTTGTTTGTTTGCTTTAGAGCAAAGCCACATTGGATTATCTGCTGTGTCCACCGCGGGGAATCAAACCCAATATTTTTGTGTTTTAAATTCGTAAACTTACCGCTGTCCCTCTCGGGCGACACTTAAAAGATGTTGTTATATATAATCAAATAAAAAAAATGTATTTGAAGCAGCCTTTACCGGTATTCTCCTCTTTCCCTTTAAATTTTAGGACAAGTTTAGTCACGACTTGGCTTTACTCTTACTGTACCTCTTTCGTCTCACAGTGGGTCAGTGGTAAGTTTGCGGTCTTTAAATGCTAAAATTCGGGGTTTGATTAACCGCTGTAAACAGAGCTCAGATAGCCAATTGTGTGGCTCTGAGCTGAAACAAACAAACAAAATCACTTCTGTCTATGTGATATTTTTTAACAGCATACTGATGCAAATAAACTTATCTCGATTTTATTCTTCGTACCACAAATTTTTTTTCTGGGAAGTCTTGCAGTAAACTTCTAAAATAAAAAAAAATTCACATATATATATTACACAGTGTATAAATATATAAAAGTAGATTTTATTGTACTTCGAGGTAACTGCGCATAGCTACTACGCGTTCACTTTTCCTAATCCTTACTTATTGCAGGGTTCTAGTTGCTAGGCGTACATTATTGGTTAATAAGTATGTCACATGACCATCATCGGATGTTTTTTTTTTTTTTTTGGAAACGGCAGAAGCCTGAGCGTTGTGATTACGTTGGTTAGAACTTAGACTTACTGTTAGAAGAAAAGAGATACTGTGACAGTGAAGGTAGGCATTGATTTAACTAAACAAGTACAATTGAGATTTTATATGTGGTATGCTAACTATATAAATATATTGTGACTGATTATTAATATTGAACTAGCAGAGTTGCAAATGAGTTCAGGTGGATAAGGCTTCTTCATATTCTTGTCATTCGAGTCCTGAATTAATCGCATTGACGTAAATTTTATGTGATAATGTTAGCATTACTAAAACATTATTATACTTAGTATTTACAACTTACAAGTGTGTCTGTCACTAGTGTCATTGTTAGAGCATGTGTCAGCGTAATTGGCAGTATCACGTTTCGTCATCATTTGCACCGAAGCATATTATTATTAATTACTAGCTGGAGTAACCGTTCCCTGGACGGAAGTTATGTAAATTCACGATTAATGAAAGGTTATCTTAGTGCATAAAAAGTTGCTCCCTTTATATGCAATTGTTAAAAAAACGCAAAAATGTCCATAAAAACTGGAAAACACAAAATGTGAAACCGCAAATTTGCATCTACCTCCGCATGGACCCAACAAATCTTCATGCCAGATTTGATGAAGATCCATCAATAGGGGGCGAAGTAGTGGTAAACAACGCAAAAACGCCCATCAAAACCGCAAAATGCAAAACTGAAAATTTGTATGTATAACGTTATATGAAACACGTTAGACACATATTACATTCGTGATTCAATGTGACTGACATACTAATGTCTTTTTCATAAAACCGGGATTTTTGTGCATCCATAGAAAACTTCTCATGACCCTTGGATAAAATATTTTGGGTATATCCACTTGGAGCTTGTAAGTTGTCATAAAATTAGTTTATTAAGCATGAGATCTCTTTTTTGCATATATATAGTGTAGATACTCAAATTATGTCACTTTGTTATATCGTTATACACAGCAGCCAAGACATTTGTTGTTATCAATAACAAAATGGGTAAGAGTAAATTGCATTATTCAATAAAAATCACTCCACATGAAATTGTGTGAATTCCTTTACATTTTCTCCTTTATTTCAGTTTTGCTTCAGAGGGGAATAGAGTGCATAATGCTTTTCCCACCATATTTAATTTCCACCATGTGCAGATGATTATGGTAGGGTGGATTTGAAATGTATTAGTCACAAATCAACTCATTTTCCTGCAAGAAAAGTCCTTGAAAGTGGGATTACATAACAGGTGTGTGTCTTTTTAACTGTAAACTAACATTCAAATGGTGTTAGTAGTGGTAGTTTTAGGTTTAAATGACTGATAAGTTACAAAGCTAAATCTGTGAGTGATAGTTAGGGGGCCTATTTATAAAAACAGATATTTGGGAACATGGTGAGATGCATGTAAAGGAGTTCACAGAAAGGGTAAAGGAGATCATCATTTTAATTCAACACCTTATATATGCATTGCACTTCTTAGTATAATGCCACATTATAATAAAGCTTACATTTATGATCTGTGGAAGTAGTCTAACACAAAATAACTATTCTTATTAGCCTGCTATAGCTGGATTTACTGTAGAAATGTAAAGGAGATCACATTAATTTTTACACCCGTCTTTGCTAATATATAGAGGTGGTATGCATTTCGATGATGGGTTTTATATTATATTTTTAGAATGGATGGTAAACAAAGTTGGCAGCTGAAATATTATCACAGAAAAAGGCAGCAGAAGGGAAATCCTTTTTGCAATTTGTTTGCTTTTTGCCTTTTTATTATGGGTACAATATAATCTGGTAAAGGAGAACACATGTGAAAAACAGTAGTCATCTTCATCAAGTTGGCAAAATATGACAATGTAGTGCAAGTGCTGGATTTTTGGCACAAGGTTTTTCAGTAGCTATATTTCAAGAACTGTATAAATCACACTTATAGGAGAAGATTTTTTTTCAACATTTTCCAATTGAAAAATGGACACTTAAGAAAGCCAGGCCCATATGTTGAACCTTGCAATAGCTGTCCTGTTAAGTCAACAAGGTTGAGGAACACACAGTTGACTGTTAGAGGGTACTGAGAAGTCAGAGGTCATTATGTTTTCATTTGACTGCATGTTGTGTTAGCTGGGGTATTTGGCCATACAACTTACCTGAAACAAGACCTAGCACTTACAGCTCAAATTTCATAATCTTCATCACTGTGAACTGCATCCATTATAGAACATAGTCCAGCTTGTGTTGAATTTCTAATGACTGGATTGTATTGATTATCTTAGGTTACAGATTCCAAACAAATGATACAGTGTCCTAGTAATCTTTATGTTTTTGCTAGTGGCTCTGAGTGAAGGACCATTGCTTTACTCTCTCACAAACTTGCATAACCTATCACCTACAATATAATAGAAATAATTATTGAATAGCAGGGATTAATCATTCGTTATGAGATACAAATTGAACAGTAATTTTTCAAAAAGTTCTTTCCTCAGAACTGGGTCACTTTACCAGATCATTTTACACTCACAATTCAAATTTTCCACACATTTGAAACACTAAAAACATTTATAATAGGAATTGGAACACATGTATGGGTCAAAATAAGTTATCATTTGTTCTATTGTTGGAAAGGGTGATCTCTCCATTTTATCAGATGGATACTAGTTTTCAAGGATGTATACCCCCCCTGGGTCACCAGTTTTCCAGCAATGTAGGCCCCATATCCAAAACTTTTTATATTTTATTTTCTTTTCAGACATGGTTGGCATTTTAGTATATGTACCTTTACTTTTGTTAAAAGTGATTTAAATAAGGTAAGATACAGAAATATTTGTAGTATTTTAAAATACTGTTACATTGTATATTGCACTATCTCATAGTTGCCTCTTATCATCAGTCATTGTCATGTTTCTACCTATCTGATTGGTCATTCATCTTTGGCTTTTATATAATGAACAGTGTGATGAACAAGAAGTAATCATAATTAGCATGTAGTATGTCAGTTTCAGATGATGGTTGTTGTAATACAATATTTGCCTTTTGTATAAGATGACTCTGAATTTTTTGAAATAATTAAGTGTGTTTCATTGAGGTTTGGTGTATAGAACAATCACTATTATCAAACATGTCTAGGATGTTACTTTTGTAAAGAAATTCTAGAAGTTATTTTTAAACTATGCTAATCTGTGCTCTGGGATAAACAATCTAGGATGTTACTTTTGTAAAGAAATTCTAGAAGTTATTTTTAAACTATGCTAATCTGTGCTCTGGGATAAACAATAAACCGTAAGTGTGGTTTTTTATGCTCTACAAACACTACAGACAGCTCCATTCAGCATAACGTACGTCACAAACATGTAATAAACAACTTTACAAAGTTTTTATCATACAAGGACTCCTTTTCTATTACAAAAAATATTAAACCTTGAGATATAGTGATCTACTATAAAAATATGTTTACAAAAATTAGTGTCTGTTACAGAAACTAACTTTTTTGATATAATATTAGCAAAATTTTAGTATGACAGATTAGATCAACACATATCAAATAAAAAATGTCTTGATTATTTTTAACTAGCATGTGAGATAAATAACTTCTAGTTATGAAGAATTGAGACAAATGATGCAGTTACAAATATCTTATTGTAATGCAGTAGGTGGCACATTGCCAATGCACTTACTCAAAAAAAACAAAATAAAAAGAATGTCAACAAAGCTATTAACTGGAGAGTTCTTATTGGAACTCTATCTTTGAACCTGTGTACAAGACAAGGGGTAAAATCAGGCATTGTTTTAAGAGTAAAAAGTATCATCTTATACACCAGTAAATATGGTAGTTACCTACAACAGTGCTTTGTGTTTAGAAAATGAATGGGGGATGTTATTATTTTTTTGTTTCTAGTTATAGTTTCTAAGAGGTTTGAATATTATGAAGAATAGGCATGCAGTAAGTAACAAAGTGACAGAGATATGGCTGCTCTCACAAAATATAAAGTAATTTGACAAGATGACACAACTAGGTCATGGTTCAAGTTTTTGTAATACAATTTAATTTTCAGTTTATTATTATTTATTATTTTAAATTGATAATAAGATGTCTATAATGAACAATATGATACCATAGACAAATATTTAGTTCATGTATGTTGGATCACTGGGCTGATTCAGAGATCAGTGAATTGTGTATATAACTAGCAATAGAGCCGACCAATTAACTCAGGTAGTTGACATAATTGATTACCTACATTATTAATTACATCAATTAATGTGACAATTCATGAAAATAAACAACTAATCAAAATTAGTGTTTCTGATTATTGCTATTGTTTCACTATTCCAATTATCTGATGTTCATGCAGAAATAATTGATTAATTAAATGTAATCAATTAATGAACATGATGATTAATTGGTTATCAAATTCCACTAATTGCCCAATTCCACATTACAGTTGGGTCACATTTTAACATGAAACTAAAATCTGTGAAACAGTATGACACAAGATTATTTCCAGTAAATGTGATAATATTGTATTGTTCTTATTTTTTGTAAATTTCTCCTGTGACACACAAAAATAGTGGGCATTATGTCATTTATTGATGGAGGACAGTAAAGAACGTTCATCTAATAGCATTTACAGGTGTTGACAGGTGCCAATGCAAGGGTGCCCATCAAAATGAGAGTATTGCTACAGACCATAAGTTGAGAGCTCCCAGAGGTTTGGGATAGTACCTCTTGGAAGATGTGAATGCGCAGCTTTGTTGTATCTTAACAGTCATAAAACACGTAAGCATTGGCTGTTATAATTAGTAGTTGTTCTGCTGTCAAGTTGTTTGGCCTTTTTTACAGACTTAGAATATGTATAAATTGATAATTTGAAAAATCCTTTTGTGTATCTCTTTGTATATGTGAGTATGACTTTTCTTGCATGAATATGTAAATCATACTCACTTGTCATTAACCTGTAAATTATTGAGATAAGTATGACACTAGAGATATTTTTGCAGTATAGTATTGCCACATGTTATTTCTGTATTTTCTAAATCATTTACTTGAAAGATTCTTCTGTGGGACAAGCAAAATCATCCAGCTATTAGCAAAAAAATATTAATTGTCTAATGATGGAAGATTTAAATGTAACTTGGTTGTACTTTTAACTGTCTTTCATAAAGAACAAAGTCCTTTTCTGCAAGCAAAAAGGTAGGACTATTTACGACTAAAAATTAATCTGTTCTTTTTCTTTTCTTGCAGCTTTCAAAATTTTCTGATTAAGCATGTGTCTATCACTTCATATAATGTGAACCAGGCAGAGCTACTAATCTTATACACCGTTAGAACTACTTGAGAAAAGAGAAAAATATTTTGAAAATGTTAAGATATAAAAGGTGTTCTGTACAAAACCCAAGATTTCTTCTTGTGTGATTACAATCTTTGACTATAACATGACAGAGAAAAAAAAATGGGAGATAACAGTTCACAAGATTGTGCATCAGCAATGATGGAAACACATGGAACATCTAAAGATCCAATCAGGGAGATGTATCCTTTTAACCACCAGGTTGGAGGTCATTCACAAATGCTGCTTTTGGAACCTGACACTTTGTGTAAACCTCTCATTCAACGCGAACTTCATTTCTATCTTAATGTTCCTAGAGAAATGAAACATTTTACACCTCATTACAAAGGTCAGTAAAGGTTTTGGTATGTGTATTCTATGTGTAATAGTTAAAACTACACAACTACTTTGTGTGTAATTAACTGACATTATATTTTTAAGAAAATGTGTAGCAAAAACACAGCACAGTATATGTGTATAAATTTCATATGATTTTGACACTTTATAGTATTTGAAATATTTCAGTGACTATGGTTCGAAATGTGTGTATGCATATGTAATTTGACAAATATTTTGATTAGAGAAGTAATATTATAAACATGCTTAACAAAGTATTTTTTGGCTGAGCTTGTGTAGCATTATTTTTTTAAATTTAATAAGCATAGTATGTATATTGTACCTGTATAAATATATGTATACTTGTGTGGTATGTAAGCATACCAGTGTTTTTCTGAATCCTTGTATTAATATTCAAATTTTTCAAAATTAACTTGTGCAGGTATATGCAGTTTCCACATCATGTTGATCAAACAAATCATTAATTTACTGATGCTCTAGCAACTTGTCATTCATTCAGAGTAGCACCTTATGTCATCCTGTGGTAAAGATAGTTGCTAGGTAACCTGTAGTATGTGAAGACACTTGTCTTTTCCAATGGCAGTCTCTTGAGTTAATGACCTCCTTATGTTTCATTGGGAATGATCAGTCACATGAGTAGCACTGTTTGCTCTGAGTAAGTCTGACATTAACGAGTTATGTAAATAATCTGAGATTTATTCAGTCTGGAATATGATCTTAACAGTTAGTTTTGTAAACAGACTCATCTGAGTAAGTTAGAGACTACTTCAAACCTAATTATTCTAGTAATGGTGACTGTCTGTTGTGACAAGTAAAATGCATTTTCACAGTGTTTGATTGAATAAAGATTGTTTATTGAGATTGTACAGTTGTGTTCAGTCTTTCTTTGTTTTGTTCCAACTCAATAAGTTAATAAAACATTATTTTGTAGTAAGTATCTTGATGAATTTCCCATTAATCTGTGGACCTGTCTTGTCACTTAAGTGAAATCAGTGTTATCTGAAAATACCACACTTAAACTTGTCTTATTGTTCCATGTGTGCGGGCTACAGGTATATTTATTGCACTTTTTTTACAGCTTTTTGTATTAAGTCCATCATAAAAATTGAAATTAGTCAAACTGTGTTTTTTGAATGATCATACTACATAATGGTTGATTTTCAGTATTTTTTTAATATTTGTTTTAGGTGTTATTCAAGTTAGTGAACTGGACAACAGATCTGTCATTGTCCACTCAACAAAACATAAAGACATATCAACCAAAGATTCATGTAACCATAAGCAGAGAGAAGTCAGCAGACAGTGTAAATGGAATGCTCAAGAAAAATACAAGTGAGTGATTATACTTTATTGTAATTAATAATAAAGTAAGTAAATAAAATTACATTGGATTATTATTTGCTGAACAGCTGATAACTGTATATGGTTAATTACACTGAGCCTAGAAACTTTAAAAAAGCTTGGAATATTTTAGAATGTCTTTGAATTTATCAGTTTAACAATATTTTATTGTTGTAGGATGTGGAAATGTTCTATATCATAAGTTATTTGCTTTAACAAAAACCATACATAAATTTAATTGTTTTGACTGTCATCATAGCTGATATTGCTGCTTTATCCAACATTTGGATATTTTTTTCAGTGGATAAAATTTATGAAAATATTGAACAGAAATGTTTACTTGCTAACAGCAACAAGAGATGGTAAGTTACAAGCATTGCCATCACTTCTTTAACCTACTTTCTGATACAGTACATTACCTCTTCTCACATAAATAACTATTCTTGTTCAGTGCTGCCTTCTATATGCAAAAAAATGTTTTGTGCATGCCACAGGCCTTGAAACTCCCATCCATCTGGAATGACTAATTCCAATGCATCTTGCATGCAAGTTATCATGCAACAAACCACCACCAATAAGAGCACGTCATACTCTCTTGATGCATGTGACTCCTATATTCAATTCTACTGAACTATCACTTCTCGCTTGGTAGTACTCGTGTTATAATGTTTAGTTTATGCTGTCTTCAAGTGCTTTATTGTAATTTTTTTCCATATCTTTGTGTTAATTTCTCTCAGTAAGTATATTCTTTATTATACAATAATGATATTTGTAACTTGATGAGTAATTCCAAAGTGGAATTGTTTTATATTTCTACCCTGTTACAGAACTTGTCACTTCATTACAAAACTTTTTATTTGTTTCTGCCAACACAGTTGTGTTTAGTTATTCATTTTGCATTCTAAATTCTGTGTTACAACTTTGGAGGTTATATGTTCTATTAGCACATTTATACAGGCTTCAGGTCGTGGCACTCCCTGGGAAGATTTTGGCTTTACTTCACTGGGCGATTGATCATCCAATGGTTTTATAATCATTTATATATATTATTTGTATTTCAAACATTCAGGTGGATATATCACATTCAGCAGAATGCCTCCATGGTCCACCACCCCAGCGGTTTGGAACTAGAAAGTGGTAAGGACTCTTAAACTCCACTAGAAGAAAAGGGTGAAGAAAGCAAGATGGTGAGTCCAGAGGAATGACATCACCTGAGACAGTGCAATGGGTGACCATGAAACCCCACTTTGAAAAGCATGGCCACACCCTAGCCACTCTACACTCTAATGAATAATGTATGGTTTGGATCACTATCCTGCCATAGTCCTCTCCCATTTAGATGTGCTCCTCCATCTTTCCACCCATATGTGCGACATATTTCCACAGTGGGCGAAGAATATACCTGGTTCAGAAGTGGTGTGGTCTCCCATGTATGATCTTTGACTCTGAAGATCTCCTTTTGGGGAGTGTCATTCGAATGCTTTTGAAGGATGCTTCTTTCTTTCTACTAGTTGTAGTACTAGTTCCTCCATCTATTCAATGTGGGATTCTAGCTATTTATGTGAGAAGCGGTAATGTGCAGTATCGGAAGTTATAATATTCCTACACTGAAAATGTATTTCCGATAGGTACTTGCCTCCACTCACACTTCCCAACCTACCTCCTGACTGAAAACCAGAGCTTCCATTTTCTGCCAACATTCGAAGTGATAGTTCAGTAGAATTGGGTAGAGGGAGTCATGTGCATCAAGTGAGAGTGTTGTGCTCTTATTTGTGGAGGGTTGTTGCATAATAATTTGTATGTGAGATACATCGGAGTTAGTCATTTCAGATGGGGGGGGGAGTTTCAAGGCTTGTGGCATGTGCAAAAAAATGTTTGCATATAGAATACAGCACTGAATAAGAATAGCTATTTATGCGAGAGGAGGTAAGTATCTATCGGAAATACACTTTCAGCATAGGAAAATTATAACTTTCAATCATTGATGTAAGACTTTTATAATTTATTGATAATTGTGTAGATCTTTAATGTAACCAGTTTTATGCTGTTGTATTTTATGATTAACGTCAGTGAAACATTAGTCTTAAACCAGAGTTTAAAAAAAAATTATTACAATATTTAGAATTTGAAAACTTACTCTTGAGTACAAGAAGCATAGGCAGTCAATTGATAAAATTGAGAAACCTCAATAATGTATAAATTGAATCACTGTAACAAACACATTTGTAGTGAAATATATTGTTCAATTTGTAAGTATTGGTAATATTTGTATTACATTTTGAGATTTTCTTATTATAAGTTTTTATTCAAAAACTTTCAAGTTAAGTGTTTCATAATGGATTACTTTTTTTTAACAAATATAATTTTTAGTATATTTCAGGAACATACAGCACTGATAATGTGGGGAAATTTTCTATATTACGTTATCAGTCTGGTGACACTTGTACACTATGCTAAGTAACTAAAACAGATGATTATAACTTATTAATTATGACCAAAGCTGATCGACTCTGAACTTTCAGTGAAATAAAAAAAGTGTTATTTTAGCTGTTTTTATTGTGACAGTATTTTAACCCTTTGTGGACTAGCAGGGTGACATTGTGCCCTCCTCTTCCCCACCTGAACATAATTGTATGAAATTTGGTACACACTTTCTACATAATATGTAGCTTAAACTTTAGAAAAATTATATGATTTGGTTTAGTATTTGTAAATATTTGAGTTTGTGAATTTTCAGAAATTTTGTTGTGAAACAGTTTTTTAAAAACAGTAAGTAATACTGTCTTTTGTTTTAGAGTTTTTGTTATTATGTAAATATATCTAATAAGAGATATTTTTTCAATAAAAATATAGTTGTTGTCTCTGTGTTGTTCTAGTACCAGCAGACTCATTTTTTTTTTCTATTCATACGAGCTTTCATATGGCCAAAAATATGTTAACAGTGCATTTCACTATCTACACACTAACATAAAAAAAAAAGATATTTAATTAGCTATAATCAATAACAATACCAGGTTAAAGTTTAGTTTTGATCTGAGGAGGTAGCATGATCTGATCAAAAGTTCATGTTAAATACAATGAAAGCACGGGTGCTCACAGGAATGGGAATTTGTCCTCTTACATTTCATAAAACATTCCACATATGTCTGTTGACTTACACTGTAAAAGCTGATCCCCTACATACATTTTACCCCCCTGAAAATATTTCTGTGTGTGTGTGTGCTCATAAATTAAAGTAATTTTTAAAAATGTGATAGAATAAAAGGTAAATTAATTTCTTAAGATATTATTGATCATAAAGTTCTATTTTATGCATCCAATGAGTTCTAACATGTTTTATTTTCATGGATTATTTATATTTGTTATTTATATTTAACCTATCGAAGCAGTTAAGTAACCATGAAAATCAAACTGAACAGTAAGACTTGACCAGTGGAAAACACAGCTTGCACTCATAAACTAGGCCTACACTGATATAAGTGATATTTTTCCAACTGTATTTTTGATCAAGCTCATTTCTCAAACAATTATTTATTTTCTATAACTAAAGAGTTCTTGTACTTGTATATGTTGTTTGCTGCTGATTAATTGCCTTGTATCTGGTTTGCATTTGAAAATTAGGAATAGTGAGGGCAGATAGCCCTGGTTTAGCTTCGTTTGAATATCTAAAACAAACCATCTGAAAGATGATTTTTACTGTGCTATTTTATGCTGTAAAGATCACTGGATTTATTAAAAAGTATTACAATTATGTGGTGATTGCCATTTTTTGTGTGTATATATTTTTCTACAATGAAGAACATTTTTATTTTGTTAATAAAGAGGAGAGATGCATGCAAATGTCTTACTGGAGCTCATTAGCTCTTCAATAATAATGGTAGTCTACATTGCAAACAATGTCAAATTATAAAGTGAAAAGGTGAGAAATGAACAGATCTTGACATTATTTTTGTTATTTTGAATTAAACATATAATTCTTGGAAAATAATGTCATTGTTATGATTATCCTGTTTGCTTTTGGTGTAGATTTGCTTGTCTTGGTAAATTGTATACAATGCAGTAAATGAAAAATTTGATAAAATATATGAATGTATGTGATGCTTAGCTTGAAGCAATACTCTCAAAATTGGTCTTTGTAGCCTTGAAAAAATATATGTATATATACATATAATAACTTGTAGTGGTATCTGTCAGAAACAAACGTTGTTTAAGAGTTTTAGTTTTGAGCAGGCATATTTCATGTTTCTGAATTTATTTATAACATTGCATTTGTTTACTTCCAGGGTAAAAGTTTACAACTGTGAAGATGAAGTGACACTTCTCCAGGATTCTTATCCTCATTACTGGGCAGATCATAAAACACATGGTTACACTTTAAATCAGAAACGTATCCTCTTATGTTATTTCTTTCTTGATTAAACCAGTTTATTCTTCCTTGATACAAACTTTTAGTACACAGTAGTTCCACAATCAGTATGTTTCTCGTCACTTTAAACTTAACAAATTTTATAATACACGCTATAGATCACAGCGATTCACAGTCTCGATAACTTCGCTCTCGATGAGTGCAAAACACACACTTTATGGCTCACTAGCTCGAAACTAACAGAAGCATAAATTACACGGATCTCAAAGTAACTACTGCTCTCTCTTCATTTATATCCCCACTGGCTTTCCTCGATCATTCAAGAAACTCGTCACGCATGCTACCAGCACCAAACACGCCAGCAGCGTCACATGACTGGTGCTGTCATAGCAGTATATATAAATGTGTATATGTGTGTGTATATATATATATATATATCAATTTGTAAAGAAATAAATTTCATTCATAAATAGCAGAGACTCACTAAACATTTGTCTTTAATGCAACAGTACTTCTTTAAATGCAAAATTTCTAAAACAATACAAAAGAATTCTAATTGCAGACACTGGAATTTGTAAGTTCACTTGTCTTATGCCTAACATTAGTTAAACCTTTATTAAGTACAGCCTGATAAAGAAATAAATTAACACTGTAACTTGTGTACATTTTTTGCTTTAGTGTAGGTAGAGTTAGACTTTTCTGTACATAATACTATCAATAAATATACTTATAATGTTATTCTTCGACCTAATGTTAGACATTTTTAAAAACTTTAAGCTTTTAATATGTTGTTATACAAAAAGTAGTATATTTATATCAGCCTTTCGTTTATATCTGTCGAAATGAAGTGTGTGTGCATTTTCAAGACAGGCAAAAAGTGAGTATTATTATAATAGATTATCATACCCAACTTTATTTTTGTACATATTGACACATAAGTTTTCCTTGTTGATATTATTGTAATCATGTAATAGCTGTATCAACTTCCAGTTTTGCTTTTGGTAATCAAATTATATTTTTATTTCATACTTGTTTGTTAATAAAATAACTATTACATTAAGTATTTTTCACCTTGGCATGCCACACATGTACATACATTGAAACTATTGTAATAAGTGTACTGTACATATAGTTGCATAACCATAAGTCAATCAGTAAGCAAAAGAATTATAGCACCATTTTCAAAATGTTAGCTGATATAATAAGTATCAAATTGTGTTATTAAAAATTAGTTGTTGTTTTAGAAATGAACATAAAAGTGATTACAATAAAAAAAAGTTTTACTTCTGCCTTGAGAATAATTGTATTTAGTATTGAAGTCAGTGCTCATGGTTTATCACTATAGTGTAATAAATTTCATAATTCAACTTAATGAAAAATATTTTTTCCAACAAGGCAGAAAAAGTGAGCTATGTTTTATAAACCCTTTTTTTCCTACTTTGAAGATATTTAAAGCTGTTGTTGCTTGGCTATTCCAAATATACATTTAATGTCACTTCAAGTTGACATTTTATGAGCGTGATTATATAACAGTATTTGCTTAATTGTACAGGTTCAGCATTGTTTATAAACTTTCAGACTAGATTAGGCCATATTTAGCCAAAACATACTGGAACCATGCTTATGAGGATATCATTCTGCATTTTTTAACTGTGTTAAACAAACTTAACTTAGCTTAAACTGTATTTTTCGTGTCTTTTGAAATTTATAAATGTCTAAGCAAAATAAGTTATGTTAGTTACAATCTTGAGTTCATGTTTTTTGGTATGTATCTATATTCTGTACAGACAGAATGTAATAAATTTACTTAGCATTTAAATTTGTATAGGCATTCCTGAGTTAAGGTAATATATTTGTAACTATTACCATTTGTAAAGACAGTATAGAAGTTTCACAGGACTTTTTTATTGTAGAACAAAACAATATTTAGTTTATGTATTACTATTAGTTCATTAATTTTATTCTTACAGGTATGATTTTTTTTTTCATTGTCAATTCAGTTTAGCATGCAGTTACTCAATTCATTCAATGAACTATTAGGATAAATGTGTTAAGTAGTCCAGATGACTAAAATATATTACAGCCTTAAATGTAGGTTAAAGCAAAATGTCAGTAAATTTTAAAACAGATCATGCAAATAATGTTTCCCTATTTAAATATTCATATTAAACCAAATACAAAATAGTTAATTAATATGAAGTTTGTTGAGATAATAACCATGTATACATAAAAGCAATGCTAAAGAAAATTGACAATTAAATTGTGAACCACCAGTTACTGAAGACATAAAAGTACGTGATAGTATAACATTTTTATGGACACATACGTGTATGTATGTATGTATAAACTCTCAAGCTAGTAGTTGTATTTAATTTTTTAGTCTTGACCATTGTTTAGACTTATTTAAAAACAGCCCCTAGGAACACAACGGTATGTCTGTGGACTTACAACACTAGAAACTGGGTTTTGATACCTGTGATGGGCAGAGCATAGATAGCCCATTGTGTAGCTTTGTGCTTAATTACAAACAAACAAAATTTAACAACAAAATGTTAACATAGTGTAATATAACGTAATATTAATGTTTCACTGAAAAATTACAACATAATTTTTAAGCCTTAATTCCTGCTTCAGACTTCTTGCTGTTAGAAAATGTCACTTATCACTTTCGCAGACCTTGCATTTTAGATCTTAAGATGGGTACAAGACAACATGGCGATGATGCATCAGAAGAAAAAAGACACAAACAGATAGCTAAATGTGCATCGAGTACTTCTTCAGCATTAGGTGTCCGAGTATGTGGAATGCAGGTGGGTTTGATACATTATTGTATTGTGTAAAATTTTGATGATGGGTGTATTATATACTTAAAAAGGTTTCAAACATTTATGCACACATAACCAACGAATGTAAGTAATATAATATTAGAAAAGAAACTATGTTGTTTATGAATGAAGTTCACTTGTCAAAAATCTTTATAATTTTATTTTCATGCAGAAAGTATAATTTTTTTTTGTGCTTTTTGAATAATGTTGACGCTGTATACTTATTTGTTCACCCCCTTGCATTTCAGTAGACCTGATATAAGATTTTTGTGGATGATAATTTTGTGTCTCCATCTGAAAAATTTCACAAGCCATTTTGGCTTTTTTTTTTTAGTAATCTTTGATTTATTTGGAAATAGCTGTAAAAACATATAGATTTTCTTACATATATTTGTAAACCGAACCAGTTAAAAAAATGTTTAATGAAATATTCATTTTCAGGGGTGGCTATAATGTGACAATGAATCTCATTTTTCATTGATAAAAAAGTAACTCAAGAGTTGACAGTGGGTTGTGTTGACTAGTTGCCTTCCATGTAATCTCTCATTTCTAAATTAGGGACAGCAAGTGCAGATAACCCTTGAGTAGCCTTGGGTGAAATTCAACAAACAAACAAACAAATAATTTATGATATGTAACATCACTTTTTTTTATTATTGTAAAAATTAGTATTTCCAATTTTAGTGAAATATAATTTTCTTGAAAATTTTCTTGGTTGTTCTTTTTGTTAATCACTTATTTTCAAAGATTTGGAATTGTATTTTTTATTACTTTTGGTTTTCTTTTTGCAAGTTTATGTACTATACCTAGCAGTGTTATGTAGGTGTATGTATTAAATACAGAGTAGTCTTTATATGAATTTTGACAAATTCTTTATATTTGGGTTGGGATATTTTCTTGGATAATGTGGAAAAAAATAATAATTAAAAAGTCTATAAAATTTCTTGGGTAATTTGTGTCCAGATATAAGCTTCAACTGTTTGCATGTTTTGTGATAAAATATATTTGTCAAAATAACTAGCTATATCATTATATCTGTTTTTCATTCTGACTTTACCAAGTCTGTTTCATTTACTGGGTTAAGTTAGCTAGCAGGTAGGAACAGTGGAAATCCAATTAGTCCATTCATGCACATGTAAATATCAAGGTTGTCATTTGCTAATAAGTGTTTTTGTTATGTGTGCAGTTCTTCCAAATATTTTGTGAAAAATGTTATTGTTTAACTGCCTGTAAGAATTCAATGGTATATCTAACCAAACCATCTATTTACCAATATACTCCTGTGTTACCAAAGTCTTAGGTTCTGTGCACCTTGTGTGGTCTTTTCTGAATCTTTTAATATTTTGTTTTTTTTAAATAGGATTTGATGTCTTTGAATTTTATTTATTTATGTATAACTGTTTATTTAGCTTATTATTATTTTTTTTTTTTTTATTTCTGAGTCATTATTTGAGTCATAAGTTGACTACTACAGTATAATTTTTGTTATGATTATTTCTGCTTGTTAAAAAATTAGCCATTTTGGGATCAATAATTACTGGATATAGCTAAGATATGAACTTATGTATATTTATAATCAAAACTATTCATGCATATTTGGGATACAGACAACTAAATCAGCAGTTTATTCATTTGTTAATTGTTTTTCCTAACTTATCTTAATCACATATTCTTTCATTGTAATTTTTTAAAACTTGCCTGCATTTTTGTCTGCATTTAATAATATTAGTAACTACTTGAGTGTGATTTTAAGTTGCATAATTTAAGTTATTTATTTTTGAGCCTGTTTCCTGTCAAGCAAGTAGGTGTCAGACTCCTCTTTTGTTTTTTATTTCAACTTTTTTTCTCTCTACAATGTTACCAAAATTACTGAAGAAACAAACAGATTTGCACACCAGCAAGGGGAACACCTAAACAATGATGTCAGAAAACTGCTGAAATATAGTGATGTTACTCCTCAAGAACTTTTAGCTTTTATTGGTTTAACTATTTCTATGGGTATAATTCGTTTACCATCTATTATAGATTACTGGTCTACCACTCCTTCAGTTCATCTTCCCTGGTTTTCTTCAATATTTTCCAGAGAAAAATTCCTAACTATTGCTCACTTCTTTCATTTCAGTGACAATACTAATAAACTACCTAAAACTGATGCTAAGCATGATAAACTATTCAAAGTCAGACCTGTGCTTGATCATCTACTAACAGCTTTTCCAGCTCACTATAACTCTTCTAGGGAACTTTCTATTGATGAGCAAATGTTGGGAACAAAGGGCAGAATATCTTTTAAGCAATATCTACCTAGTAAGCCTACCAAATGGGGAATCAATCTTTGGGTTCTGGCAGAAGCCGTGACTAGATACTGTTTACATTTTAGAATATACTCTGGTAAAGAGGGATCTGTACCTTCCAAGGGCTAAACTAGTACAGTTGTAATGACTCTGATTGAAAAGTACTTTGGAAGGGGACACTCTCTTTTTACTTATAACTTTTATACTTCCCCAACTCTGTTTGATAAGTTGCTTTCACTTGGTACTTATGCTTGTGGCACTTGTAGGAAGGACAGGGTCCACTTCACAGACATGTTTCCAGATAAGTTAAATAGGGGAGAGTCAGTTTTTCAACTGTGGCTCAATGACTGCTGTGAAGTGAACTGATAAAAGAGGTATTCATGCTCTTTCTACAATACATAATGCTACAGTAAAGGAAGTGACAAGAAGACAGAGTGACATGATTAGCAAGTTGCAGCTAATCTTGGATTACAACAAGTTTATGGGAGCAGTTGATCTTAATGATAAATTTTGATCAATTTCTTAGCTGTTATTTCATTCCATGTCAAACTGTCAAATGGTATAAGAAGCTTTTCTTTAGACTTGTTGACCTGTCTATTGTTAATTCTTTTATTCTTTTCAAACAGGTAACTAAAAATAGCAAGTACAAACAGGAGGACTTCTGTTTACAATTATTTGGAATCTCTCATGAAACCTATAATTGAAAGTAGAGGAGGACCTTCTTGTTTGTCAAATATTCATTCACCAGTTGTGGCAGATGCACAGGAATGGCTCTTACCTGGGAAGCATTTTCCAGCATTTGCTGAAGGAAAAAAAAGGTGCAGATTGTGCCTCCACACAGGTTTAATTAAGTTGACTTGTAAGCAGTGCAAGGTCATCTCTGTGCAAGGCACTATGAAGAGTACCATATTTTGAATACTCTTCAAAAAAGTTAACTTTTCTTTCTATCATATCTAGTCAATCTGTTATGATTAGAAAGAAAAGTAAAATTCAGTCTGATTCCTTTTATTTCCTACTTCATTTACTTTCTTAAGATTTAAAACTTCTTTAGTAGAGGTTTGGTGTTTATAACACCTTTTTTTTTTACACCATCACTCAGTTTTGCATTTATGTATTTCTATTTGTGAATTAATGTTCTAAAACTCATTGCACATATTAGCCATAAAAAATTAGAATATTTCAACAAAGACTTTTGCAAGAGCACACATTATATTTTTGTCTATATCGAATTGTATTATACGTTACTGTGCTCAGTTTTATTACTTTTATCATTATTTGTGTTTTAGTTTCTGCTCAAGAATTATGTATAAAATTTTAAATATTTCACCGAATAATGTACAGCTTGGAGTATTCATCTTCAGACAATTGTTTGGTAACACTGTTTAGCTTAAATCAGCATTTGTATAAACATGTATAAAGTCTTCAGTGTACATATTCATGAATAGTGAAAAATGTACAGTTTGTATGTTCTTCACATATAAACAGATGTGATTATAATACCTCAGTGTAGCTTTTACCACATTTATTTTTGCATCTAAGCATGATTTGCATACAACTGTACATATACTTCTCAGTGCATAACTTACAAGTTTGATATTGTTTATCCATATATTAATGCTCCTTTTGTATGTATGTTATCTTGATTTGTAACTTTTGTATATACTTTTATGTAATCTAACTTTATTTTTTTAAACTCTTTGCAAAATATCAGAATAAGCTATTTATATATCAGTTAGTATGTTTTAATTATAAAACAACAACAACAGAAGTGTGGGTCTTACTAAGTAATGATAGTAATGAAGGAAAAATATAGAATTCTTACGATAAGCCTAAAACTATTAAAGTGGTACTAGTAGTACGTACAAATCACACAAAATTATCGTTCTAAGTTCTGAATCATATTTTTATTATGAACTAAATATAAATTTATGCTAAGTTATTGAACTTAAAACTGCTAATTTAAATGCAAAAGAATATAAAAATCACAAACTCCTTCAGTTCAAAGTTCTAAGCCTAATGCATGTAAAGACCATGCACTTGCCACTCGATAGATCTTAACCCTAACATTCGTGGATCAACTTCTTTCCCCAAAATATATCTATTGTGAGTTCATTTTTCAATGTAATAATTAATATAAATAGATATACGACAGAGCATGATTTAAGCTACTGTAGAAAAATAATAAAAGTCACATACATCCCATGCAGTTTTTTCCAGGAGCAAATTTTCTAAGGCTTATAAAAAATTATTATTATTGACCACTACTAAGTACAACCTCTACATAAAATGGCAGTAACTATAATAACTACCACACATGTTCATGTGGTAAAATCCTTAGGACAAAGTTTCGTAACGTGCTTTGTTTATCATCCTATGATTTCTTACATGTGAAATGATTGGAATAACAGGGTACTGAAACTGAGGTTTAACACACCTAGACATTGCTTTATAATGATTAAAGGTTTAAATATCATTCATAGATGGCAGAACAAGTGCTAAAGTGCAAGGAAAAATTTTTTTTTAAATGTCTTTTTTTTTTTTCTTAGAGTTAGAGGGTGCTTATTTATGGTCTCTAACATATTTTGGGATTTTTTTATTAAATTTCTCTTCAAACTTCTATAAATAATGCAATTTAGTACAAGTAATTGAATGTTATGCTACTGTTTACAAAAATAAAATCTGAAACCAGTAAAATATAAATTATTTATAATTTTTTCAATTCACAAATGCGATTTTGCTCTCACGATAAGACAAAATGGCCCTGGTAGGTAAGGGGTTAACAGAAGATACTAAAAGCATTATAAATAAATATATGTAGAGATTTAGTTTTTTTTAAATGCCAGGACCTTTGTTTTTGGATAATATCTGGATAAAAGATATTTTGTATGAGTACATTTGATGCATGTTATATACTGTGATCATATATGAATTTTTCTTATATATATATATATATATATATATATATATATATATTAGTATTTATTTATTAAGTTACTAGTATTAGTTAGTTTAACTTTAGTTTTTTA